TTTTTAGCAAAAATGTATTGATTGAAAAGGAACAAGAAGATTTGGAAATTTCATTTGAACAATATGACTATACCTGTAGATCAAAATTACTTTCGGAATCCCATTCTCTCTATAATACTATATTTGTTAAAGTAAATTTGACATGTGAATTTCAAATTGAACAATTGTATTATTCTTCAAAAGTGGCACATAAAGATATTTGTATTTTTTGTGGAGAGGATGATTTAGCAGAAAAACCAGAAAATTTAGAACAAGAGTGTGTGTCTATATATGCTATGTGTAAAGCATGTGAAGCAAGTGGAAAAAAATGGGTGTGTAAAATCAAAAGACAAGCAAAGAAAAAATGACGTGTTACGATTATATAGATATTTTGTCTTATTGGTGATTCACATGTAATCACATGCAAATAAAAAAATTATATCGTGTTCCCTCTTAAATTTTAAATTTTTATCATTAAATATAATCAGATATAATTATTATATGATCCTTCCCCCCCTTTCATTTTTATATGATAAAATCGTGTTAAACATAAAATTAATTTGATCTGGTCTAACTGGATATTTTTTTGAGAAAATATGTATGTCTACTAAAATTACTAAAAATTGAAATTTTTATTTTCTCAAATTTTTAAAAATTTAAAAGAAATAATTTTAATTTTTAGAAAAAATAATTTCTTATTTGATGGAATTTTATAATTAAATAGAAGCAAATAAATGATAATTAAAATACAATAAATAATCTAAAAAAATACTTTATATCTTTTAATTATATAATAAATCTAAGACTTAACACTTTATTCTTTAATCAATATTTATATTAAAAGTAATATAATAAGTGAAATAATAAACTTTATAAATTAATAATTATGAGTGACAGTTAATAAAGAGAAAAATCTAAAAATTTTTTTAATTGGATTATTTGACTAGCTATAATAATGTATTTAAAATTAGTTTAAGAATTAAAATTAGCAAAAATTTTAGATTTCTTACTGATATCCTTTTATATTACTATATATATAAAAAATTTTATAAAAAATTTCAAATTTTAAATTAAATATATTTTTTTAATAAATTAAGTTATTTATTAAAAATAAAAAGATAATAATATAAATAATTTTAAAAGTTTTAAAAATTACAAATTTTAGCAAAACAATATAAATATAATATAATTACTGAAATATTCCAAATAATCTTTAAACATATTTTAAATAACCATATAATTATTTCATATAAATTTATAAAACCATTTGTATAATTAACTGTATTTATATAATTATTTGTATAACTAACTGTATTTATATGACTATTTGTATGACTTTTTGTATTAATATGATCAATTGTATAACTATCTGTATTTATATCTGTATAACTTTTTGTATTTATATGATCACTTGTATGACTTTTTGTATTTATATGATCACTTGTATGACTATTTGTATTTATATGATCAGTTGTAAGACTATCTATATGATCATTTGTATAGCTATTTGTATTTATATCTGCATAACTTTTTGTATTTATATGACTATTTGTATTTATATGACCATTGGTATGGCTCATAGCAGAAAATTTCAAAACGGCATTCTTTAACACATTATTTTTTGTTGTAAATCCCAAAGTAAATAAGGTATCCAAATTGTTCTCATCTACAAAATTGATAATTCTACAACTAAGTAATTGTTTCAAATCATGAATTTCTCTTGAAATAGTTTCATTATATAAATCCAATAATTCCTCAAAACTTAAATTGTCATCCAGTTTTCCAGTATAAATGTAATACAATAATCTATAAAAACTATTATAAGCAACTCCGTCCATATTAATAATTATCTTACTGGCGTCTTTCCTTATATCCTTTAATAATTTTTTAAAGTGTAAAGATTTTGTAGCAAGGAATATACTAGATGCTTTGATTGTAAAATTACCATCAAACGTAAATGTGATGTCACTGAAAACATCATCGTTAAAATACTGTTCGAATGAATTAATTGTAATTGGCGATGGTACCGAATTATTTTCAATTTTATAAAAATTAACTCGAACCATCAAATCCGCTTTGATCTTTTTGTGATCGCCTGGAAACATTTTTGCGGTTTCAATAAGTTTGGAAATTTCCGATGATACGCCATATTTAGTAGTTGAAAAAGAATTGAACCTTGGACTTTTCCCTACGGATATATATTTCTCAATTCTATTATAATTTACAAATAGTTCAAAGTAATGATCTGCACTACGTTCTTTCAAATCAATGATATTTTTGTTTTCAAAATCTGTTTGTATGGCGGTTAAACCTATAGAGAGGTGACTCCGAATATAGCCATCAACTGGATTTATATAAAGTCGCCATTCAAAATAATTGCCTTGAATATATTGCAAATGGCTCGGCACAGGAGAATAAAACCGTTCACTCTGAATAAAACTAGGTAATTCTTGGTAAAAGTCTTGAAAATTTTTAATAATCCAATCATAACTGTATAGTATTTCTTTATTCTGTGAATTCAGTTCGGCACAGTTTATATCATTTAAAAATTCAAACCCTATAACATAACTAATGAAAAGAGTTGAAAAGAAGGGCAAGTAAAAAGATAATATACGCATAATTTTTTTTTTCATGAGAAAAAAAAAGAAATTAGCCGACGTATTTGTATTGTTACAAATGAACTAACCAAATATAGTAAAGTAAGCATATACGCCAAAAAACACTTTTTAAATAAAAATGTCGATTTGAATAAATTTGGTCCGATCGAAAATAAATAATATTAAATTTTGAAACATAAACTAGATCGCATTAAAAGTTTTTTTATTTTTTTTTAATTACACTAAAGAATAAAAAAAAATGTCAATGTAACAAATACAAAATACACATAAACATTAGAACGTCGTCCCAAATGATCTTCAAGCATGTGATACCTAATCCAAACAAAGACACAAAATATCACTGAAATTTCAAAAAAAAAAAATCCTTTAAATCCGGTAAAGAAGTTGTTTAATAAGGAATCACATCGTCTAATACATTTTCAGTATGAACGATAGCAGAAAATTCCAAAAAGACATTCTTCAACACATTTATTTTTTGTTGTAAATCCCAACGTAAACAAGATATCCAAATTGTTCTCGTCTATAAATCAAATAATTCTACAACTAAGTATTTGTTTCAAATCATTAATTTCTCTTATATTAGCTTCATTATATAAGTCTAATAATTCATCAAAATTTAAATTACCATCAATTATTCCAGTATAAATGTAATATAATAATCTATATATACTTATTATAACAATTCTCTAATAAATTTTTAAAATATGGTGATTTTGTAGCAAGGTGCTTTAATTAAGAATTACCATCAAACATAAATATGATGTCACTGAACACATCATCGTTGAATTATTGTTCATTGGGTTTTATAATTGACAAATTATTTTCTTTATAAAATTAACGCGAACGATCAAATCCGCTTTGATCGTTTTGTCATTATTTGGAAAGGTTTTGCGACTTTACAAAAGTTGTGAGCTTCCGAGGTTACACCATGCTTAGAAGAAGTAAAATAATTGTGTCTTTGACTTTTCTCTACGAATTGATGTTTCTCATCGTTATTATTATTTTTACAAAGTAATGATCTGCACTCCGTTCAAACCAATGATATTTTGTTTTCAAAATTTGTTTGTATGGCGGTTAAAAGTGATTCCGAAAATAGCCATAAACTGGATTTATATTGTTTTAAATGGCTCGGCACAGAGAATAAAGCCGGTCACTCTTAATAAAACTAGGTGATACTTGGTAAAAGTCTTGAAACTATAAATTATTTCTTTATTTTGTGAATTAAACTCGGCATAGTTTATATCATTTAAAAATTCATACCCACAACATAACTAAAAAAAAATAGTGGAATGTAGGCAAGTATATAAGCATGGTGTTTTTTTTATTAACGTTTAATATATTTGTATTCTAACCGGATTTGTTTATTCATTGTGGATTCAATATTGCGATTGTATTTCATTATTGAAAAATGACTCCTCGAGTAACTTTTGACAATTTGTCCTGTACAAAATGAAAAAAATTATCAATAAAAAATTATAAAGTTTAAAAAATAGTCAAGAAGTACCTTTAATCATAATAACTGGTCAGGTTCATAAATAAAAGAATACTTAGGAATAATTCAGCAAATTTTTTCGCTTGATTTTATTATTCTTATAGCCCATTACTTTTTAATTCCGTGGCATTAATCTACACGAAATTTTTCAAGGACGGAATTAACCAAGACTTAGCGTCTCCCTTAGCGAGCAAACTTATTGATTTACCAACTTATGATGGCTCATTGGAAATTTATCCGGTAAACCGTTTTAGTTTATATCGTTCCGTGGAAGGAATGTTGGCTTTGTTTTACGAATGAACAAACTTTATCTCGAAACAACGGATGTGGTGGATTACAAAGAAGGTTGGAAAGGTACAAAAAGGGCTAGCATAAGCAAATTTAAGAAATATGAAATAAAACTTGGGGAATTTTTGTCAGTATTTCTCGAGCTTCTGTTTCTTTAAATACACTTAATAAGAACAATGTTTAGGAGAACTGTAATCCGTACTTATATTCGAATTATTAATTTTTAAAGATGCTTTTAAAAACACAATAAGTGAGGTTTAATATGTAACGCGTTTTTTATACGCGAAATAATTTTAATATGTGAAGGACTTTATTTTAAATGGAACTTTTTTTTTTAATCAGTTTATGTATGAAATTATTGAGGGGTAACCTTTTAATTTCTCAAAATATCTTTTAAAAAACAAATAAGTTTTTTTTTTAATAATCCAATTTTCCTTTTTTAACTACATCACATTTATCAATATAAATGTATGAAACTAATACACCTTTATATATAATGTTAAACTCTAAAATTTAAAGATTAAATTTATTAAAAATGTTAGAGATAATGTTCTTTTAACTAGAAGAGCTAACATATTAGCGTTAAAGGAATTATATCACAATTAGGGATGTTAACGGTTAGGGATAAACCGGTTTTAAACTGGTTGTGTAACCGAATCGATTCAGTTTGGTTTCAAGATTAGGAACCACGGAATTATCACGTGATTCAATATGGTTAGACATCTACCGACACTTTTTCCACCCCCACGTGATTTTGTGGCGTAGCTAAGCCACACAAATTTTTCAAACGAAATGTTCAAATTAACAAATTAACACTAAAAAAAAAATGTAAATTATATATATATTTTTCTTTTCTTTAATAATGATAATTATTATTTGATAAAATTAAAGTTTTATTATAAAAAAAATGGAGCTTGAATTTAAAGATTGTACAACTATCTTCTGCAGTTCCACTTTCACCAACAAATAGTTTAATATATACTTTTTTTTATGAAATCCCATAAAATTTACTACAAAAATATCTAAAAAATCCAATTTTCTAATATCACAATCACGATGAATTATGAAACTGCTATGCTATCTATTAGAAATGATGTAATAAAAAAAGTTAGGAATTTTTATGTTAAAATAACAATAAAAAATGTATAATTAAATAAATAATCTCTATTCTCCATACCTTTATACATTAGTTTGCTTTTATAAATAAATTCTCAATTAATAAATAATGTATTTTTTAAATGATCATTAAATGTCCAAGGCATCATCCGTCTCTATTTATATAAAGTAATTTCTGATATTTTTTCGATTAGCATAAAATTCTTTTCAACTCCTTTTGTTTACTCTAAATTTCATTTATCCCACTGGTCTATTAAACACATTATTAATAAAGCATAATAATAATAATTGATAAATTTCCAAAACATTACCTTTAAGAATTTCAAGTACTTTTTTCATTGTATTAATAAATTGTTAATATAACTCCTTATATATTTGTAAATAAATATCCTCAAATGATTATCATTAAATACTTCAGAAGTTATTTTAGAACTTTCAAAATTACTAATTATTGGCATTAAAGTACTACAAAAAGGATACTGATGATGATGGTAAACTTGTTCAAAAAATTGAATATATATATCTCCTTTTTCTTGTACAAGGTATTTACAAATAAAAAATTGACTCATTAAAAATGCAGCATATATGCAAAACTAATTATTAATATCTATTGGATATATATTATTGTTAAGTGATTGTTTTAACAATTCTTTCTATTTTCTTTTAAATATCTTTCGCCAGTTGCTTTCTTCCTTTTTACTACAAATAATTATTTAAATTTCCTTTGGCTATATAAAATAACCTTTTTTATAATTATATATACAACTAAATCTAAAGGTATATGAAAAAATTTGTATAATAAATCCCATTTTATCACTTTCTAATGGGCTTTTACGAACATATTTATCTTAAAAATTAAAATTTTATTACTATATCTAGCATGAAATCACAAAACTTAACGTTCTGAATTATACCATTCATTTCAAAAGTAAATCCAAAGCTATGATAAAGAATTTTGCTGACAAAAGTTGTAAATTTCTTGTACAGCTTCTGTTCAAATAGTCTTTGATAAAAGAAACTGCCCATTAATAATTAGAATGAGCGGGTGTTAATGCAAATGATTTCTCATAAGTTCTCAGACAGAAGTATGTAGTTCTTTTGGACAAAAGTTATTTTATCATTTATTAATATTAGTTTAAAAGTTGGATCTATAAATGAAAATTGTCCATGTATTGCCTTGCTATTATAATTAATTTGAAGTGATTTTTTATTACTTGATAATCTTACTCCAATAGTTTCCTTTATATACTAAAGGTATAATTAAATCTTTATATTTTTCCAATAAACTTTACAGCTAAAATTTAAGCGAAATCTTTATCTAATAAAAAAAATTTAGGTTTAAGTCTATGCACTTTTAATTGTAAAAGAAAATTGATTATAATACCAGTTCTAATATCATTTTCACAATTTCCATTGTTTTCTATAAACAAATATGTTAATGGAAATCCAGTTCCATTAATTTTAGCTAAAACTATATATAGTTCAAATTTTAAATTATTAGTATTATCTAAATTAAAAAATAAATAATTAAATAATTAATACTTAGTTTTAGTTTATAAGCAAAATAATAAATTAATAATTTACATGTCATATTAATGCCAATTTTACATATTTTAAATTGAGAGTTTTGCAATGTATTCCATAATCTAGTTAAAAAACTAAGGGTATTTAGGCTATTTTTTTGAAATATACAGTAGCGGTCATAAGTATCCGACCGCTTCTAACTCTGGCTACAAGTAAGTAAATTCAAAATTTTTTTTTTTATTTAAAAAATACATAACCAACTAACTAAAATT